AGTCGGACGCTCAACGGACTGAGCCACCCAGGCACCTCCAAGATTACACCTTTAAAATGGCTGTTGCTCTCTTAGACTTTTGGTATTTAAGGACTTGACTTTTTAGAGTCCTGAGCATTCAGTAATTTTTTAAAAGGATAGAGAGGCTTAGGTAGCTCAACACTATCATCCTCACTCTTCCAACAAAAGCGAAGCCAGTGTTAATTCATGAAGGTTGTATAAGAATGAGTTGTTCACTAACAGTGTGCTTGTGAATAAACAATAGGCCTATAATAGCCTAGTGGGTAGGCCCCAAGTTATAGACTCTCTGTCATCTCAGAGCCAAGGTGTTCAAAGGTCTTGATCCAGAGGCCTACACATTGGGGGTTCTGACTGGTGAGATAACCTTAACAGCCAGCCACCTGTTGTTTTCAAGATGTTCTGATGGTGTATATCATTTGTGACATAAATGAGCATACCCTCTGTGAGCATACAGTGGTTTGCTAACTGGTCTTCTGGAGATCAGTATTGTTATGAAGAGCACTTTGGAGCAGAGGGGGCCAATCAGTAAAGTTTAATTCCATACTGCCTGAAAACTGCTTTGTTTTTAGCTCTTAAAAGACTTACTACCTTGGAGAGGAGGCTCCTTAATGAGTAAGTTCTGAGTCAGTGATTGAGGTTCATCATTTTATTGACACAGTCTTAAATAGTGACCTATTTAAGATATTTTAAACCCTAGTGTTTAAATAATTCACTGAGAAACAACCATAGTGAATATTTATTGAGTACGTATTAACTATTAACCATTTTGCTAAACGTTTTACAGGCCTTATCTCGTTTAGTCCTCACAAATCCCTATAAGGTAGGTTCTCTTGTTCTCCCCATTTTTACAGAGAAGACAGCTGAGGCACAGAGAAGGCTAAATAACTTTACCCAGAGTCAAATAACAAGTAAGAGGTAGAGTCAAGGTTTTGAATCAGGAGGTCTGACCCTAAAACCTGCATTAAACAAACAACTGTGTTAATACTGCCACTCCATAACAGCAATGAATTATTTAATTTTATCCAACTTGGTAGTGAGGAAGAAAGTACATAGCCTCAGAAAATAATGCACTGAGTGTATATTGTTGCAAGAGTGTGATCATGGCAGAAGACAGTAACAGATTTTAGCTTTGAAGTGTTTAAACATAGTTCATTGAGCTAAAGATCTGCTGTGCTTTTGTGTTGCTCATGCTCAGACATTTAGTGGTCTTGTTTTTTAGGGCTTTACTCTGGGTTTCTGTTCTGACCCCAGTGGATACAGGGAGTCAATATGCAGCTCTTTTCCCATCCTCAGCCCTGAGCCGACCCCCAGAATGGAAAATTGTGACCCAAGTCCAGCTGCTGGCCTGTCTTTGCTTTCCAGCCCAAGAACTGATTCCCTCTCTGAGAAAATTGGAAAGGCTCCTGGAGGCTGCTGAGAAACTTTGATGTAGAGGTAGCAATTGAACAGATTGTCCTTTAGAAGCAGCCAAATTTCATTTTCCAGATTGAAAGACAGACTTCCAAGAAAACTTTTCTTTTTAATGTTTTGTTCTAGCATCCAAAAAAGACCCAACTTCAGATCTGGGCTTGAGAGTTTCTCATGGCTATTCTTGTTCTAGGTGGAGGGTGGTTGGCCCACTCTCAGATGGCATGTATCTTAATAGCTGTATGGTTGGCCAGGCCAGCCTTCACCTCCCTCCTGCTGGGTTCCAAGAGGAAGTCCACTTGACAACTGCTGGGCACCTCCCAGTACACTCACCAGAGTATTTTGGTGTCACTTTGTGACGGACTTGGACTTAAACTCCTGCCCAACCGCGAGCTTGTTAATATTGTGGCTGCCCTCAAGTTACTTAGCCTTTTTGAGCCTCTAAATGAGTGTTATAATACCTCCCTTCAGGGTTAAAGTGAGGATTAAGTGAGAAAATTATTGACATGACTAGCAGTGGACCTGGCAGGAAGTATGGGCCCTTAGTGAATGTTAGGTTCTGATTATAGTGTTAGAGAAGCAGTTAGTGATTAAGAACATGGTGCCTGGAATCAAGCAGATCTGAGTTTGATCCCAGGTGTTTCATTTCATGGCTGTGTGACCTTAGGCAGTTGTCATGATCTCTAGGAGTCCATTTTCTCACCTGTCAAATGAGGGTAATATTAATACCCACCTCATAGGCCTGGTAGGATTCATTGAGCTTATGCCTGTAAGCACCAATTATAATGTCACACATAGTAAGCCTATAAGGAATTACTGCTCTTTATTATTACTGGCAGTGTTAGTGTCCCTCACAGAGGTCCTACCCTGTGTTTTCTCTCCGAATGGCCCCTTTGTGTTATCATTTAGTACATTGTATACTTCATTGTTTGCTGCAAGGCAGTATATATCCCTTTTATCTTGAGTCATTTCTCCAAAGGACTGATTGTACCCGAAGGGCCTGCATTTCCCACTGTTACTCATTTTCTTTGTCCTCTTGCTTTTGCTTTTCTCCCTGTCATGTAACAGGGTGGGCACATTCAGCATTCAGTGGAGGACCCCTCATCTAGCCAGGGGCATTTCCTAGAGATCTGAGAATTGAGAGGTTTGGATGGCTAAGCACTGACCTGAGTTTTGGTAACTTAAAGCCCAGTTTTATCATTCCTACAGGTTGATGAATGGCCTTTCATTAGATATAATCTGCTTTTTTTATTCAACTACAGCTCCCTACAGCCCCATTTCTTTCTCCTGGTCATTTATTTTGGACGAGTCATTCAGCATTCCCATGTTCCTAGTACACTGGGTCACCTTAAGGAAGACGGGAAAAAGAAACTAGAACTTAGACTTAGCAGGGCTCAAGTAAAAAAAGCCTGTACTTAATTCGGGTAGGCAAAGTAGTGTCTTCCTAGCTTTCCAGAAGAATTTGAGACCAGGAAGGGAAAATAACATGTAAGTTGGAAGGAACCATAGAGATCATCCAGGCCACATTATACAAAGTGAGAAAACAGCCTCTGAGAAGAAAAGTGATTTGCCCAAGGCCACACAGCAAAGTGGTAACAGGGCTGGAACTAGAGGGCTGGTTGTCTGACTGCATTCAATACTCTTTCAACTCGTAGTCTTATTCTGTGGTTCTCCTGGCCCTCTCTATGGTAGTATAATCACAGAGCACTATAACTGCCATATATTTAGTTGAACAGATTCCTACCAATATTTAAAATATAGGCGATATTTCTCCTCTGAACCCTCACGTATTTATACTTTATTATTATTTTCTAGGGTGTCAGATGCCTGATACATTCAATTCATGGTTTCTTATAACTCTGCTTCACGTCTGGTAAGTGAGCAATTTAAGTGAAGTCACCAAATTTTTTTTTTTAAACACTGCTGACTTGTAAGGTATAGCCTTCAGCAGGGCTGAATATATGAAATGGCAGTTGTTCAGGCATTAAAAACTGTTCCTTTCATTTTAATAACTAATGTCTTAAAGCACATTTTTACTAAAGGTCAAAGCATAGTCCCAGAAAGAACCTAGTATTTGTAGGCTTTTCTCAAAGAACACCTACCCCAGTGAACAATGCTATCAGTATCTCTTAGAGACTCTATGAGCTTGGATGGAAAGTTCTCTCCCTTGGCTGTTTTAGGAAAGTTCACATTTACGTAAAAGTGGTTTGAATTGTGAGAATCCGTGGTCATTTTCATTGCTGGTCATCAGAAACTTATAACAAATTATAGCACTGACATTTACGCCTGTACCTCTAAAATGTGCATACAGGTTAGATTCGTGCCAGGTTTGTTGCGTGTAAAAATATTTAACACCTTAAACAGTATATTTTTTCTTCAGCTGCAAATTAAGTAGCCAAAAAAATCAATTTTTCATCTAATGTTACACAGTATTAAAGGTCAGAAGGATATAGGAGAGACGTTGAAGTGGGGGCTGGGGAATGCATTTATTGAACTGCCAGATCTCAGGAAAGTAAATTCTGGAGAACTAAGTTTACTACTTTGACCATAGTGAGTATCTGAGGAACGTGGGGAATGGTTGCCCTGTCAAAAGGACCCTTGTTTGAGACTGCCTTCAGCTGAGCTTTGCATCACAGAACTGACTACTATATAAAGACTTTTTGGTTTTGATCACCTCTGAAATATTTCTCCTGAACTCACATAGTCACTGAGATTGGCTAAGGGGCATAAGGTGGCAATTTATTTTATGTTATTTTTTTTCTAAGCAAGTACTTCATTGAGTGCACACTATGTCCTGGGCAGTTTGCTGGGAACTAGCTGTGGTTCTCAAGAAGCCCACAGTCTAGTGAGGGAGATAAGACATTTAATTTTTTTCTTTTTCAAAATTTTATTTATTTATTTTGAGAGAGAGAGAGAGAGCGCGCGCATGCAAGCACGGGGAGGGGCAGAGAAAGAAGGAGAGAGAGAATTCCAAGCAGGCTTTGCACTTTGAGCGCAGAGCCTGACGTGGGGCTCAATCCCATGCACCATGAGATCATGACCCGAGCTGAAATCAAGAGTCAGATGTTCAACTGACTGAGCCACCCAGGAGCCTCAGGAGAGAAGATATTTAAAATAGTCCGTGACAAATCGGAGAATGGCTAAGTTCTGTAATAAATCTGAGTAAGTAGTGCCCATGGGATCACAGAGGAAGCTGCAACTATCAAAACCATTACTAGTTCTGCCTCTTCTTTGAAATGTACCATGTCTTTTAGTCACATAGCTGTGAAGGCAGACTACCTTCTGTCTGAATGGTGAAGGTTAGGAAAAGGCTTAGGGAGGGCAGCTGGGTATACTGAGAGGAAAGCTACTTTTTCAAGAGGAGAGGACTGCAGAAGTGGCACTGTAGAATTACTCACTGGAAAGGTGGGAGGGTGCAGAAGAGGCGAGGCTATTCCCAGAGGAGCTCAAAGATAATATTCAGAGCTTGTATGAAAGGCTCTTTATTGCCTATATAACTAGAGGTATCAGAGTGTTAGAGGGAGTGGATGGCAAAATCAAATATATAATCCCTGTGACCACATCCCAAGGTCAATCCCTAATAGTAGCCAGGAGAACCTTGAAACTACTTACAGTTCTCTCAAGATAGCCACCGTTTCCAGACATGCTTGCTGTGTCTTCCTTTCTGAGGTTGGTTTCATTTCTCAGAGGAATGGGGAGTACTACTATTACCAGTTAAGTAGCGGGAGGGAAGCTGTCTGCTTCAAAATCTACATTTGGTCTCCCCTCCACCCTTTCTCTTTAGTTCTCACGATCTGCAGTCTTCAGTGGAATTAATCAGTAGCTTTCCAGTTTGAATTAACAAACTTTTATTGGGGACCTACTGTGTGTTAAGGACTGTGGGGCTTTGGAGAGATGGGTATGACATCATGTGCATTGTCTAGCGGATAACAGGCAGGAAGTATACTTTATGGCAACCTTTCCCACTGAATTCCTCTACAAACCTGCCCCAGACACTTCAGACAACTGGCTGTCCTCAAATACTCCCATGTCCTTGCTCATATGTCCTGGGTGTTGTTCCTGATATTCCCTAAACCTAAAATGCCCATGTTTTCTCTGATAGAAATTCTCCTCACCCTTCATGGTACATCTCAATGTCATCTCTGCCACAGAGCACTCTTTATCCAATACTGCCCCCCACGCCGCAACCACCACCAAATTTGGATTTAGTTATACTTCCTTGTACTTCCAGAGTATCTGCTTGTGCCTTGGGCACAGCACTTCTTTCACCGTCATCCATTATAGGCAACTGTACTTCCTGCCTGAACTACAGTTTTGTAAAACTTGTGCTGTTTTGGGGCCCACTTGTGCTGTTATCCTCCAAGAAGAATTGGGGAGACTTTCTCTTCTAAGGGGTAGGGGTATTAGGAGGAGTAATCATTCCACCCAAGTCTGTGGAGAAGCTATGTTCTTCCAGCCCTGTTCTCTTAGCCTGAAGCTCTAAGAGGGTAACAAAGATAGCCAAGTCCAGTATTAGAGGGCCCAGTGGACTTCCTAGAGATGTATAGGGTTGAAATACCTCCTGAAGGTGGTAGTATGAGGGAGAGGTTAGGAGGCTTAGAAAGCAGTCATAAAAGTAGAAAGAATCTGCCCCATCCCCCAAAGGGGGGAAAAAAACCCCTACTAAACAGAATACCCTGGCAGTGGACTTTTCAGAAAGCTTGCTTGGGTTCCCAAGTGTGATGGCTCCCTGTTGGCCTTTAGAATAGGGACAGGATTTCTCACATCCTTTTAGTTCCCCTGGAGGAGGTGTTGATGATTCCCTTATCCTATCTGCCTTCTCTAGTTCCCAAGTTTTTCTGTGTATGTCCAGTTTCTAGAGGGGCCTTATCAGTTGTGTATTCACGTGAACTTGTAGCAGCTGCAATGACTGTGTGTCCTTTGTCTTTGCTGAACAAGGTTAGTATTGAATGTGGCTGCTGAAAAATTGTTGAGAGAGGTTGCTGTCTAGGCTTTCCTGCATCCAAATGTGTACTTGATAAAAGCAGGCCTCCTCCTCTGTTTACTGTCTTGGGCAGTGGCACTGCAATCCATTCAGGTGTCCACACCAGAAACTGGGGAGACCTCCCTGACTCTTCCCTTACCCCCCTCATCTGGTCAGTCACCAGTCACCCCTTCAAACTTTTTTGCCCATGACCCACAATAACAAATGAATTTTACTTTGCAACCCAGAACACACATGTCTCTGATACTACAGTTTTGTAAAACTTGTCCTTAAAATGTCAGATAATCTCTGATATTTTCTATTCCATTTGAATTCATTTTAAAGAAAAAATTTAACATGTGCCCTATTAAATTGATTTTACTGGATTATAAGAAACAGTACTTGAAAACTGGTCTTTGGCCTCCAACTTCCATCTTCACATGCCATTGATCTTCTCAATACAAATTAAATTAGCATGCATGCACGTGCACACACACACACTCTCCCTAATGTTCTCCATTATTCTCAGGACAAAGTTATATTTCTTAGCATGGCATTCAGATTCCACCAAATATGCCACCCCTGCTACTCTCATATGGTACTATTCTAGGTACTGCTATCCCCAACACTCCCTCCTCTGCAAGATAAAACAATATTATATAATAGAAATACCAAGTTTTCTTCTGTCCAGAAAGCCCTTCTCTCTCTTCTTTACCTGACAAAACTCCTGTTTTTTCATTCAGTATCTAACTCAGGTATCATTTCTGTTTGAAACCTTCCCTTTCCTTTGAAAGCAAGAGTTAGTTCCTCTTCTGTATTTACTTAGTATTTTAGGGACCTCTATCATAGCACTCATCACGTAACATTTTTATGTTTTATCGTATCAGTCTTCTTTGTGGATGGTGACTTTATTGAGAGCAAGAATTATTTTTATCTTTTTGGAAAGATATGAAAATGAGATATTACTTCTCACAGTTCTGTGTATTATTCTTAGTTTGTATCAATAAATGTTCATCAAGTAATTGATGTTCTCAGATCTAACTTGACTCGCACGGCATTTGGAAGGGTCCTGGCACTGTCTTTTGGTTGGGTGAGAGTGGCAAAGCTCTGCTCCTGCTTAAGTTTCTCTGGGTTGTTACATGTATGTAGCTGGAATTTATGTTGGCGTTACAAGTGTTAATAGATTTGTAGAGACTCCTCTCAAAATTTGTCATGGAATGCTAGTACCTTCTAAATGCAGAAGTTAATTTTAGAAGATGGAATGGGATAAATAAAATTAGAGTATGCCTATGATGGAGATGGAATGGGGAGGGAGTAAAATGCAGTTTGTATTTTAATTTTAATTTTTTATTTTTTAAATTAAAAACATTTTTTTTAATGTTTATTTATTTATTTTTTTTCAACGTTTATTTATTTTTGGGACAGAGAGAGACAGAGCATGAACGGGGGAGGGGCAGAGAGAGAGGGAGACACAGAATCGGAAACAGGCTCCAGGCTCTGAGCCATCAGCCCAGAGCCCAACGCGGGGCTCGAACTCCCGGACCGCGAGATTGTGACCTGGCTGAAGTCGGACGCTCAACCGACTGCGCCACCCAGGCGCCCCTGTTTATTTATTTTTAAGAGAGAGAGTGTGAGTGGGCGAGGGGCAGAGAGAGAGAGGGAGAGTCCAAAGCAGGCTCCAGGCTTCAAGGTGTCAGCACAGAGCCCGATGTGGGGCTCAAACTCCCAAACCATGAGATCATGACCTGAGCTGAAGTCAGACAATTAACCGACTGAGCCACCCAGGCGTCCTGCAGTTTGTATTTTTAAAAATTATTTTAGGGGCGACTGGGTAGCTCATCAGTTAAGCGTCCAGCTTCAGCTCAGGTCATGATCTCATGGCTTGTGAGTTTGGGCCCCTCATCGGGCTC